TGTGTGGGGGGGACGGGGATAGATTTTGGTTCTGTTCTGTGGAAAATCAGAGAGAATCCCTAAGCGCGCATGCACACAAACCCACACCTTTTGCCCTGATCTATGTAGAAACCAAGCGCAGACCCACTCCGCTGCAGACCTGCTCTCCCATTGTGCCTGTCTTCCCACAGACTGAAAATTTTAGGACTACCACTGATGGACTTCGCGCCAAAGCGTGGGAGGGAAGGCGGGAAGGGTAGACTGGAAAGGAGGTCTTATTTCGCAGTCTGCGTATCTAGATTTGGGGGAAATTTCAACGTGCCAATTACAGGTGTCTCTGGACTCTGCCTGCACAGATGGCGCTCTGCTGGAGCGCAGTTTAGCAGCAGGTGCCGGGCGCCTGCACCTTAAGGTGAGCCCACTGTTCCGGCCGGCTGACAATACAGCCCCAAATTCGGGCAATGTTCCAGAGACGCCTGCGGGTTGGAGGCGCCTTAGATCAAGGCTCAGGGCTCCACTGTCTCGGGAACCAAACGTGATCGCTGAGGTCACAGAGGCGCAGGGCACTCCTGGACCACACTCGAGAGGCCCCAGTCCCACCTAACTGGGCTCGCCCTGTTTCCAGCTCCCATGCGGAGCCCTAGCTGTAGACGGGATTTCACACGCGCGCGTTAGGAGAACATGCCGGCGAAGCTCTAACCGCCCACCTTCTCCTGAGCCAGCAAGGCAGCTAAGATCACCTGGCTGTAGGTAGGACGAGATGGCGTGAAGAGGTGAAGAAGCAGGCAGGCAAATGGAGCAAACTGGGGGAACTAGTCAGGAAAGGCAGGTTATTAGAGTGGGAAGTTCCTCACCTGGCGACTCTAGTTTCAGGGCAGCGCGAGCAGCAGGTCCACGCGGGAAGAGCACAGCGCCTGCTGTGGGCACCTTCCCCGCCGGGCTCTTATTCCAGTGGTGTCGGGAGGCGGCGTCCCCACCAGCCTGCGCGGCCAATCCAAAGTGCCCAGGACCAGCCAATTAGAGGACCGACCAAGCTCCAATTGCGTCATACCTCGCGCTTCCCACACCGCTACTCCGGGGAGGGGACCATCCGGTCCCGCTGTCATTTACATTAAGGTCATTGCTTAGGGCGCGAGAGGAGAGCCTTCGACGTCCAGAAAGTGGGGGCAAGTCGGGGAAAGTTTGGCGTCACCTACAGTAAAGGACCAGAGCTTCTGTCACCTCCTCGGAGTCTGAACTCCGGCCTCGCACCCCCTCCTGCCACGCCAGGGGGGACCCAAGCCCAGCCACCTGCAGCCCCAGAAAGGTTGAGCAATAGTCCCGGGTTCTAAAGGGACCTCAGCTGAAACGGTTCAGGGCGGGGGGGGGGGGGGGGGGG